GTTTTTATACCCTCCACCATAGTATGGAGGGTATATTAATTTTGTCATTCCGTTTGTAACTCATCGAAATATTCATTTCCGACTCATAAAGTATATATATTCTTGATCGGGGTAAAATTCTAAGACGATCTAGACTTGTCCGTCCGTCCGTCTGTGTAATCACGCTATCTTCTGAGAGAATTGAGATAGGGTGCTGAAATTTTGCATAGGGTTGTCTTTTGTCTGCAGGCAGGTCAAGTTCGAAGATGGGATATATCGGTCCACGTTTAGGCATAGCTCCCATATAAGGGTACCCGCCAAATTTCGGTATTTTGGGGTTCTTGAGCGCGTTTTTCAGACGAATTCGCTGAAATTTGGTACATTGGGTTCTTATTGGATACTTAATGTCTCCACAAAAATTTATAAGTATAGGTCCATATTTTCTGGTAGCCCCCATATAACGGTACCTCCTAATTTTCAGTATTTTGGGGATTTTGGTCGTATTTTTTCACCGAATTGGCTGTAATTTAGTATTTTGAGTTCTTTATAGGTACCAAATCTCTCTACAAAAAATTATGTATATATGTCCATTTTTTAGGGTAGCCCCCATATAAGGGTATCAACCAATTTTCAGTATTTTGGGGTTCTTGAGCGCGTTTTTCAGCCGAATTCGCTGAAATTTGCTACATTGGGTTCTTGTTGGGTACTAAGTGTCTCCACAAAAAATTATAAGTATAGGCCCACTTTTTCTGGTAGTATTTTCATTTTTTGGGGTTTTAAGTATTTGTGGTTTTGGTCGTGTTTTTCCACCGAATTGGCTGTAGTTTAGTATTTTGAGTTGTCAACTCTCTCCACAAAAAAATTATGAATATAGGTCCATTTTTGCGGGTAGTCCCCATATTTCTAGGTACCCCAATTCTCGACATTTTGGGGTTCTTGAGCGCGTTTTCCAACCGAATTCGCTGCAATTTGGTATTTTATAGTCGGTATTTCAGTTGCTATTGGGTACCAAATCTTTCTACTAAAATAATCAATATAGGTCCACTTTTTCTGGTAGCCCCAAATTTTCGGTATTTTTGGGTTCTTGAGTGCGTTTTCTAATCGATTTCGCTGCAATTTGGTATTTTTAGCCATATTTTGTAACAAATCTCCTTCCCAAAAATTATTTATATTTTCCCGCTTTTGGGGGTAGTCCCCATATAACCTCCTCTTTAAACCCTCCATTTTTTCTGCAAGCCCCCTTATAAAAGTGCCCTCAAATGTTCCTTAATTATGATTACATTTTCAACCGAGTTCGAAACAAATATTCCTACCACAAATATAACAAATTAATCCTTTTTCCAAAAACCCAGAAAAATCGAAATTTTGAACACGTCTTACCAACATGGTAAAATGATACCTACATATAGTTACTGTAAACATCCAATAATTTTAAAACGCGACCCATGCACGTGTCTTGTGTTTACAGGTAGAAAATATCGGTTTTATAATTCTTTAAAAAAATAACGTAATAAACAATATGTAAACAAACCTACTCGTGACATAGAACCTATATTTGTACCAGGTAAAAGTGTTTCCTTTATAAGGAGAGCTGTTTTGTTTTTACAAAATATCAAAAAAAGGATATACCTGTTTTATGACATTGTTTGTTTCAAAAGGGTCAAACTACCTACCTCAAGTGCATAACTATTATATTATTAAAGTCCCCTTACCCATGTAAATTTAGGTACGAACAGTGTGGTATTATAAATATTAAAATTTAGGTATGTAAAAAATATGTATATAATCTGTAAGTACTTTGTTTAAAAATCAGTACAATATTGTTACTTGAAGAGTGTGAGTGTACATAAAAAAAAAACAAAAATTAATAATACAAATATTATAACTTAAGAAGTGTTTGAAATTCGTATAAATAACAAAGATGCCTAGACTACGCAAGCAATCAGCACAACAGCGCCAACGATTAATTGCAATGCAAGTTAGCAACTACCGCGAACAAAACCCCTCAGATATCCTAAGGAACGCACGAAACACGCAGCAGCACACGGTTCGTCGTCAGGATGTTACATACCGTTTGACGGAACAGGAGAGATACGCATCTTCAATCGCTTCGTCGTCAGGATAGTGTATACCGATTGGCAGAACAGCAACGCAATACGCATCTTCACTCGTTTCGTCGTCAGGATGATGCATTCAGACTGGCCGAACAGCAACGAAATACGCCGCAGCATTCGCTTCGTCGCCAAGATGATGCATACATAATGGCCGAACAGGAGCGAAATACGGTTCAACATTCGCTTCGTCGACAGGATGATGCTTACAGGATGGCCGAACAGGAGCGAAATACAATTCAACATTCACTTCGTCGTCAGGATGATGCTTACAGGATGGCCGAACAGGAGCGAAATACAATTCAACATTCACTTCGTCGTCAGGATGCAACATATCGATCAATGGAACAGGAAAGAAACACGCGTGAACATATAGCTAGGAGGTCTGATTTATCATACCGCATATCCGAACAACGCCGAAATACGCAACTACACCGTGAAACCAGGAATTCTGCTCGTATTCAGTTGAAACAACTGAGGCTGTTTAGGATCTGTCGCGTACATATTCACCGAATGGATCCCATAAACCGTGAAAATCGGAATGCACGACAAGCTAAGAGCAACGCAATTAGAAGAAGGAACATTTCCCGATATACGAGAAGAACTGTATGGACTAACACCATTAGAAGAACGCTTCGTTTCACCAAGAATTCCATTTATGAGAATTGTTTCTCTTGGATACAACCGTCAATGCGCCTTAAGGGGAGCTGTTGTTAACGCCCCCATTCAGTTGGACAGAACCGTTAATGTTCTTCCACGTACGGTTAATCAAACTGAAGTAGTTCAGGTATATCTCAAGCGTACGCTAGAATATGAGCATAGTTTCCTGACTGAAACAATCAGGCCAGCTAAAATTTTTCAGGCTGCAACATATCTTGTCGATACTGAAACATATCATGTCGATAGGAAACACAACATTCGTATATCTGGCGATTGGCTTCGAAATATGAGTTCCAATGAAGAAGTTCCATTTGTGTCCGATATTGCAGATCAGGAAATTGTGTCTACCTTGATAAATAATACCACAGAACAAGCTGAAGTTGACGAATTTAATCCTCAAGAAACTCTATTAGATAAAAACCTTGTGGATAATATTCCTTTGCAGCGTATTTCAGTTGCTCCAGGTGAAGGGCAAAGACCTTTAGACATATTAATGGATGAAGACTCGGAAGATTTGTCATATCCTACAATATATTGCGGTATTAAACGTACCTGTAATGCCAAAATTGGCAAAATAATAAAATCTGAAGTTCGGCGATATGACAGACGTTGTGCACGGGTTGACAAGGTATTATATTCCTATAAGAAACTAGAGTTTGCCCGCATTAAAAATAGCATATCTACATGTTTAAGAAAGAAATTTGGAGCAAGACAGCTGCTGACGCATTGGATGATCAGATAATTCAAAACCTAGTTCAACACGATGACGGCTATCACATTCTGAAAGGCATTCGTTCTTCTCCAGCCCATTGGGAAAGTGAAAAGAAAAAGGTTTTGGCAATGATAAGACAATTTGACCTACCAACTTTCTTTATTACATTATCCGCTGCTGAATCTCAGTGGCCAGAATTAATAGTGATTCTGGTAAAAATTGTCGAAGGAAATGACATTACTGAAGAAGAGGCAATGTCTTACAGTACGCAAAGGAAATATGAGCTTATACAAAGGGATCCGGTTACGTGTTCCAGATATTTTGACCAAAGGATTAGACATTTATTCAAACATTTTAAAACCAATGGCGGGGTATTCGAACAACATCACGTTGTGAAACATTACTGGCGGATTGAATTTCAGCAACGCGGTTCTCCGCATCTACATGGTATTTATTGGATACATAATGCACTACAATTAAATATTTTGGATACTACTTCATTCCAACCCGTAATAAATTTTATTAACAAATTCATTACGACTGATTCCTCCAATATAAACGTCGAACCCTTCATCAACGTTCAGAGACACAATCATACTAGAGCATGTCAACGGGAAATAAGAGGCCAAATGTTTTGTCGTTTCCACATACCACCCCCCCCCCCCAATGCCAACTACAGAAATCTTATTGCCTTTACCGGATGATATAAACCTGATCAACTAAAACAACATAAAGACAATTTTGAGAAAATTCATACATTATTAAATGGAAATTTAACAAATATTGAAGAAAACGAACTTCAAATATTTGAAAGATTTTATCTGACAGCAGCATACATTGTCAATTATATCAATAAGTCAAATAGAGGAGTTTCCAGACTTTTACAAGAAGCTATTAATGAAATCAGAGGGGGCAACTATTCCGTCAAAGAAAGGCTACAACATATTGGAAATAAATTCATCAATGCTTCAGAAGTATCCGCACAAGAAGCATCCTACAGTATACTTGGTATGTGTATGTCACAGTGTAGTAGCGCCGAGGTCTATGTTAACACATTTCCACCGGAAAAACGAGTCCGAATGATTAAGTCAAAGCGGGACTTACAAAACCTTAGAAGGGAATCCACTGACATTTTTAAATTAAATATTCTGGATCACTACATCCAACGCCCCGACATTTTAGAAAATATTTGCTTGGCACATTTCTCTGCATATTATAGTTATTCTAGGAAATTGAGAAAATCTCGATCTCAAGAAGAAGACGATGATTTCTTTGAGAATGATGATACTAATTTAGATCAAGTTGGAGCTCCTATCCGATTGAGAAACAATTCGGGATATGTTTACAAAAGGAACAATCCGGCTATTATACGGTTTCCTACATTCAACGCTCATACAAACCGGAATGAATATTTTCGATCTCTCGTGATGCTGTATTTGCCTTGGAGAAATAAAGCAGAAGAGATATTGCAGAATGACAATGAAAATACTTGTCTGGTCCATAAAGATGCAATAGACGCAAATAGGGTGCAATTTGAAATGTTTAAAGCAGGCGAGTTGGACGAAATATTAACAAATGTACAAGATGAACATAACATTACCGCTAATAATGGAGACGATAATGTTGCTGCAACTCAAATGCTTGATGATGAATTTCGTGCATTGGCAATACCTGAAGTGGACACCGATTTGAATATTTTTGATGTTGAAGGTAACAGTGATACCGCCAGAATAGAGGATGTTCGATTTATAAAACTACCTCCCCTAATTAGCGAAAACGATTTTCTCGCCGATGTTAGATCCCTTAATAACAAACAGCGAGCATACTTAAATCACATTCTTCAAAATGTAGTTCAAAAAGTAAAATTCTATGAATATGTAGGTGGCGGTGCTGTTGTAGTTAGACCCATTTATCAAACTATCACTCACAGACTTAACTCTGTTCCTGGTAGTAACCCAGATCTACCTAAAGTTTTATTAACCGCTCCAACTGGAAAAGCGGCATTTGGTATTGGAGGATCCACATTGCATGCACTGTTTTCTCTTCCTGTAAATCAATTCTCGGGAGAACTGCTTCCTCTTAGCAATGACACGGTTAACTCAATAATTGCAAAAATATTTGATTTAAACCTAATAATTATAGATGAAATATCTATGGTAGGGTCGAGAATGCTAGGTTATCTTGACGCTCGACTAAAGCAAATATTTAAGAACGCTAATCCATTTGGTGGCATTTCAGTTCTAGCGTTTGGTGACTGTAAACAACTTCCACCAGTTGGGGATAGATGGATTTTTAGTGACAACACCTCAAATCCTTACGGAGCTATTGTTGGTTCTAGGTTGTGGGATCTTTTTCAGTTTTATGAATTGGCAGAAATAATGCGTCAAAGGGAAGATTTAGCTTTTGCACAAGCCCTTAACAGAATGTCAAATGGAGAAATGACAATTGAAGACGTGAACATATTTAAATCAAGAATAGTACATGATTCGAATGATGTTCCAATTGATGCAATTCATTAATTTCTTTGCAATGAAGAAGTGGATAACTACAACATCATGAAATTAAATAAAATACCTTCAACATTGTTCATTTCAAAAGCTCATGACGCTATTAAATGAATCCTGACCAGAGAATATGTATACTGAGCAATATTGCAAAAATGAAGACTTCCGAGACACAAGGTCTCTGCTTTGAGTTGCATTTGAAACAATCAGCGAAGTATATGGTAACCATCAACGTAAACACACCTGATGGTTTGGTCAATGGAGCTACAGGAGTTTTAATGAGTATGGACTTTGAACATGGATCGTCAAATCCAAAAACAATTTGGTTGAAGTTTTCGGACGAAAATATTGGGAAAGAAGCGCGACGACAACAGCCTCATTGTTTAGAACCGTCTTGGACTCCGATTGAAAAGTGTATAAGATCATTTCAGTTCAAACGAAATAATGACATTTGCATAGAGCGTCGACAATTTTCTTTGTTGTCAAAAGTTGGTGTGCACAGTCTTAGCCGAATGACCAGAGCCGCTCTCTATGTTGCATGTAGTCGTGCCACAAATGCATCAGGACTGTTTATAATTGGATCGTTCAACCCTCCCAAAGCATTTCAAAACTCAGACCCGGTTAAAATTGAACTAGATAAATTAAACACCAACAAAAAATTGAAGTTAAACCACCACTTTCTAAATTCTGACGAAAAATGTTATAAATCAAGTACTTCCATAATTTGTAGGAAAGATTTTATTAATAAAATTTTCGTTCTGTTTCGTTTATTTTGTGGTTTTAGGATACATTTTTCAATCGAATTTATTGTAATTTTATATTCGAGTTATTTATTGGAACCCTGTGGTTTATGAAATATCTCTGTAGTCTACATATGTCTTAGTTTTTTTATGACAATTGAATCCCCATTTCAAAAAACTGTCAGTATACCTATGGTGGAGGGTATAAAAAGTTCGGCCCGGCCGAACTTAACGCCTTTTTCACTTGTTTATATTTCTGTTGACTTTCTTTACATGTTTTTATACATATTTGGTATATAAATTTATAAATAAAAAATCTTTTTACTATTACTAGCTGCCAATTTTTTAAATTCTATACTTACTTCTATTCTTTAACTCATAACCAGGCATTGTACTTGAATAGGTACGGAAAAGTCTTATAAAATATATAAAAAATTCCAAGCTTATTTTTGCTTACTATAAGTATACCATTTATAACTTCTTTCAAAAATGGGAATATTAAAACAAAACATTTATTGTATGTATACTATTGGTGTAAAATACTCTTCACCTAGAAATATACAAGTGCATATCATCACAAAATATCAACATGATTATTAACATGTTACTTTAATATTATTGCTAACAATACTAATTAAATATATTTAATAAATAAACACAAAAAATAACATGATACTTGTTTAATCAAATGCAAGCCAAAGAGTAAATGGGTAATTTATGATGCAACTAAAGGAACCTATAACAAATTTGTATCTAATGTACTATAAATCATCATACCCAACCCGAACCCAAAATGAACCCAGTTTAACGTTAAACAACCAACTAGAACCCATTGAACTCAAACCACGCCATCTAGTTTTGAAAATTTTACGTTAGTAATACTAACTTTTAACTATTGATAATTTTTTTATATTTCAGTTGACTTTTTACACATGTTTTATATATATTTGATATATAAACCTATAAATAAAAAATCGTATTAATATTACTACTTATTAATTTTTTAACTTAATTTTTTCTTTAACTCATAGCTAGCTTGCATAGGTATGGAAAAAGTGTTATGTTTTAAATCAAAAATATATTACATTCTATATTATGTCATGTTTTAGGATACAAAGCCACAAACAAAATAATACTAATTAACTTTATTTTGAAACAAACCCAAACCAAACCTTTCTATATATATATATATATATATATATATAAGAAAAAATTGCTTTAAAGCACTTTAAAAACGATTAATATATTATGAATTTAAATTTTCATAGTTGTTTCTTCTTTATATTCCATGTTCAATAGACAGAATTGATGATTTTGAATTCTAATGTGGTATATATTGAGTTTATGCAATACTATAAAACTTTGTGTTAAGTGTATTTAACAAAAACCCAACTTAAACGTAATCAAACATTTATTTCGATTTTTTTATTTATCTTTTTTATTGTTAGCACAAATTAATCGAGCCTACATACCTATAGCTTAAACTTAGCGTAACTCAAACTTATATTTAGAGAAGAAAATATTATATCAATAACTACTTCTTTATTTTTTATAATAATATTTCTAATCTTTTAACCATGGATCATTAGGATCCAATGTCCATAAGGATTGTCCTTCAGGTATGAATGGGTAACTTTCTATGTCCTCCTCATTCCTAACACCCTCCTCATTTCCGATGTCCTCCTCATCGTCTAATGTTGTGGACACCGTTTCCTGCGACTGTGTGTACTCATCGCTGCTGCTGCTCCCTGCTTCGAATCCATCTTCAATCTTAAGTTTATTTGTTGTTGCTGTTCTTGTTCATAAACTTTTATTATTCTGTGGAATGCTTCTAAATGTTCGTTTTCCTCCTCAATGAAAATGTTTAAATATTGGTTGTTCAGCTCCATTTTCTTCACTATTTTTTCAATTTCACTTAATGCTTCTAAATGTTCGTTTTCCTCCTCAATGAAAACGTTCAAATATTGGTTGTTCAGCTCCATTTTCTTCACTATTTTTTCAATTTCACTTAATGTGGAGATTTTTTAAACTGAATGCATGTTTCAAATTTTCCTTCGCTTTTAAACATTATATTTGTTTACATTAAATAACTGATTGATAAGGATCAATCATATAATGCTCCCCCAAAATCTAGTATTTTCTATCATAAAATTTAATTGCAGCATGATCATAGAACAAAGTATTAGTAAGAAAGAGAAATTGTTTGTTAACATTTCACCTATTATATTTTCTAAATATGCATAAATATATTTATTCACCATCTACGCTTATGCTAGAAAATGTATAGTTTTCAAATGAAATGCATTGACAACTATAAAAAATACATTAAACTAAAGAAAATTAAAATGTCATGAAATAATGATCTTGCATATATTGTTCTTGAATTCATGTTAGAAACAACAAAAACAACATACATGCATTCAATTCAATAGTCAGAGTAAAACAACAAACTAACATTTGTGCATCCAACACCTGATCAATACTTTAAAGAGACAGGCTTACTTCAAATATTAGAAACAATAATAATATTACAGATAATCAATGGTGGGGCAGACGTATGGTCTTGGTAGAATCTATAGACCGATGGGCGCCTCTCCAACCATAGCAACAAACACTTGCTGATAAGAGACTTAAGATTCAAATTGGCTAAATGGACAGACATTACATATTGTAAATTCTAACAAACTACAAACAGTGGATTCATATTGGAAAAAAATAACAACAACTTGTATGCATTAAATAAACAGAAACTAATTCTTTCTGATAAGACACCCATGATCGGATTGATTCTTGTACCAATAGACAATCATATGAGACACTGCTTCATGTATTTCACAATATTGTGCAACCAAGAAAAAACAAGTGGGTAGAGAAGGGGGGATAAATGTAGGCGAGAGCGGTGGGCGCACTGCGACACTGCATCACGAAAACAAGTGAATAGGGAAGGGGGGAGACATATAAACTTACCGAAAAAATACGGAAGAAAGGGGAGAAGAACAAATATGGGACAGAAGCGGTATTGTTTCAGGGTCATCAAGATCATATGAATGGACCTCATTGGGAAGACAAAACAAAAAAAAGAATACAAGTGGATAGGGAAGGAGGGGGACACATATAAGCTTACCGAAAAAATACGGAAGAAAGGGGGGAAGAACAAATATCGGACACAAGCGGTATTGATGCAGGGTCTTTAAGGTCATACGAAATGTCCGCATTGGACAAGACAAAAAAGAAAACAAGTGGATAGGGAAAGGAGGAAACAAACACAAGCTTACGGGAAATATACGGAACAAAGGGGGAAAGAACAAATATGGGACACACGCGCTATTGATTTCAGGGACCAATAAACTTTCAGGGTCATCAAGGTCATACAAACGGACCACATTAGGGAAGAAGAAAGAAAATATTGAACAGACGGACGGTATAAAATAATAAGAGGGAAAGAGGTAGAACACAATATGATCACATATCACACCAAGAGGAAAAGAGATGGACCAATTACGTCATTTGCGTAAAGCAATTAGCATAAATCAATTATAAATGGACTACATTGGGGAAGACGAAAGAAAATATTGAACAGACGGACGACATAAAACAATAAGAGGGAAAGAGATAGAACACAATATGATCACACAACACACCAAGAGGAAAAGAGATGGACCAATTACATAATTTGCGTAAAGCAATTAGCATAAATCAATTATAAATGGACCACATTGGGGAAGACGAAAGCAAATATTGAACAGACGGACGACATAAAACAATAAGAGGGAAAGAGATAGAACACAATATGATCACACAACACAGTAAGAGGAAAAGAGAAGGATGAGTCATCAATACAGACCAATTACGTCATTTGCGTAATGCAATTAGCATAAATCAATTTGCGTAGGGCAAGTAGCATAAAGCAGTAAAGCAGTGAGTGAGAACGAACATTCTACAGATACTCGTCTTCACAAATTACGCCATTCATACTAAATTATCTTTTGAGGTGAGAGAAGTTAGATCAAAACTTGACCTTCTCCTGAAAAATGTTTGGTGGAATAAGTTCGTAATATTACTTAATACATTGGGGCATCAGTACATCAAAGTTTACCGTCGTAAGGAAAATACTCTGGGTATTTTTTGCTTCGAATATTTGACATAAATTAAATGGCAAATATTTTCTGAAATATATGTCTCATAAATTATTTGACATAAATTAAATGGCAAATATTTTCTGAAATATATCTCTCATGAATTCGTTAATTTTTACCAAACCTAAATTAATGCAAT